AATGTAGTTACAGATAAATGTCAGATGAAAATATAGAACTGTATAGTTAGAGTCCCCCTCAATAATAGAAAAAAAGCAAATACAAGGTTTTTCCTTTGATATTTAGGCAGTTTGAAAGGATGATGTCCAAGTGAGGTGCTGCTCTAACAAAGGTTAATAGCTAAAGAACAAAAGCATAACAACCGAAGATGACGTGTGTGGGCTTGTAAGCTTTTCATAATGCATAAGTATTGGCTATATTTTCTTCCTTCCTAGAAGTGCTATCATTCTAATAACTCTTAAAAACTGTGCCCCACCCACCTATCAGGTGGTTGTACATGACAGCTGCTTAAAAATATTTTTATTTCAATGACCTTATTGTTCCTTTAAGCAAATCTGTCAACAAAACCCTTTTCATTTCACTTTCCCAGTCTCATTTTGACCTGATTTTTTTTTAATAAGGGGTTATATAAAAGTATCCTATACTTTGTACTATTGGTACAGTATATGACATCAGAAAATTTTCTACAACGTATAAAGGGACTTCAAGCTATATTGGAAATGCGAAACAAAGAAGTGTCATTTTAACAAAATGAAATTTATTGGTGGGGAAAAGAAAAGTTTACACTTGGGCAAGAATAACTAAATGCTCATGTAAAATAGGTGGTATGTGGCTCAATAACAGTAACTGTGAAAAGGATCTAAGAGTCCTAGTGAGTCACTTAAATATGAGCCTGCAATGTGCTATAACTGCCAAAAAGGCCAATGCAATCCTAGGCTGCATCAACAGGGACTAGTATCAAAATCACGTGAAATACTACTACCACTTTATACTGCATTTGATCACACTTGCATGGTGACAGCTTTGGTCACCATGATCAAAAAATATGCTAAGACTCTAGAAAGAATGCAGAGAAGAGCAATAAAGATTATTAGGTGACTGGAAGTTAAAACACACGATGAATGGTTGCAGAAACTGAATATGTTTAGTCTAACGAAGAGGAAAGTAGGGATAGCAGTTTCTGATATTTGAGAGGCTGCCACAGAGCACCAAAGGGCAAGACAAGAAGTACTGGTTATAAACTTACTGTAAACAATGTAAACAATGTCCCTTCCAACCCTGTTATTTTAGTCCAGGGGTGTCAACCTAGATTTCATTGAGGACCGCATCAGGATTGTGTTTGACCTAGGGGTTAGGGGTGGCCATGGCCAGGGTGGGCATGGCCAGCTCAACATCACTCATATCGGGGTGCCTGTGATGGCCTGAGTACTCTGCCAGCAAAAATAGGGTCCCGAGCTCCGTTTTTGCCTGCGACAGCCTCCTGCAACCCTCTGCCAGCGAAAACAGACATTGGGAGGGCCACCTGCAGCCCTCGCTAGCTCCATTTTTGCTGGCAGAAGCACCATGGGCCGGTCCTTCGCTGTTTCCAGGGCAGTCCCACAGGCCAGGTCTAAGTACCCCACAGGCCAGATCCAGCCCCAGTTTGACACACCTGTTCTAATCTACTATACTTGGTGGACTAGTAAACAAGCTAGAAAATTTGGGGTTCAAATATACACAGTGATACTTTAAAGAATTTTAAAGATTAATATTCAACTTAAATCAGGACTTTTTCTGTTGAGATTAATGGATAGACAAACCGGAAAAGACTTATGACCAATTATTTTTATACATGATAACTGTAGCAAGATTATTATATGCACAGAGAGGGAAAGACTCTAAAATACCCACAATGGAAGAATTATTGGTGAAGAATTTGCTGAGATGACAAAATTTTCTCATCAAAATTTTTGTTGACTTTTAGAGAAAAGACAACAACTACATTTATTGGTGACTAGAACCCTTTATGGACTTTTTTTTAAAAAAACTAAAAAAAATGAATTTGTAACGTATGGGTTTGATGATTAGAAAGGATAGCATATGAGAGAAAAGATCCATTAAAACCTTAGAGAGGGGATAAAATATATATGCATCTATATCTGCTATGAAGAGGTTCAGTTCATTTATACCTTTTCTATTTCTATTGTTTCTTTGTCCTTCTTTCATTTTTTCCTACTTATTTATTACTTGGTTTTGCATTACTTTCTCTTTCTTAAATCTAATTTTTTTAACCTTCTTAAAAAACCTCTTCAATAAAAATTATTTTTTTAAAAAAATATTCTATATTTTATAAATATCCTCAAGAAGATGCTCACGTGCAAACCAATATTTTGAAAGTAACTGCATTGTTAAGTACCAAATACTATTGCCCCATAGACCTGAACAAAAGTTAACCTAAAATGGACAAGCAATGTTATGTTTTTCTTCTTCAGAAAAAAAATTCTGGATGGCTTTATTTTTAAGGGCCAATAATTCTCATAATATTATTCTTTGTAGGATTAGAATAAAATGTATAGTGTCTATTATTTGGGTGTAGGGTCCACCATATATCAATTAAATTTAATTCTTCCACTAAGTCAAAAAAGGTTCTCGGTAATTTTGCCCTTTTGTTTTTATTACTTTTATTGCTTTTATAATCCTTATCCGGGTCTACTATTCCATTGAAATCGCCTATTATGCAAATTTTGTTATATTTCATTTTTCCTAGTTGCTGATGAAGTTTTTTGAAGTATTCCCCCTAATTTTTATTTGTAACATAAAGACCTACTAATAGTATTTTGGAATTCCCTCTCTTGAGCTCAATCATTAGAGTTCTTCCCTTTGTGTCATTATATTTTTGCTCTGCTTCAATTCCTTTTTTGATGTAAATTGCCACCCCCCTCTTTTTTCTCTCTGCTAATGAGGTAAATGTTTTTCCAAATTTTTTGTACTCTAAGCATTTGCCCTCTTTTTTTTTTATGTGCACCTCCTGTAGGCAAATTATATCTGCGTTTTGTTTCACTAACTTTGTAAGTGTTAGTTTTCTCTTTTTATAATTATTTAGTCCATTTACATTTACTGATATTAGTTTCCAGTCATTCATTCCTGCTTTCTTCGTCCGGTTTTAGTTTCTATTTACTTGTACGGCTCTTAGTGGTCTAGTTTTTTTCCCTTTGGCCTCTTTGTCTTCCTTTTCTTCTGTCCTCTTCTCCTCCAAGGGTCCTTCCTTAGTTTTCTAAAGCCGCTGCCTCTAATTCTTCTCCACTACTTTGTTCTTCCTCCGTTCCTCGCAGCTGGTCAAGGAAATCTTGTGCTGTACTCAAACTATCAATTTTTATTTTTCTCCCCTGCCAGGTGATTAACATCCCTTCTGGAAGCAGCCATCTGAATAATATATTCCTTTTATTTAGCTGTACAGCTAAGAATCTGTAGTCCTTTCTTACTTCCCTCACTCTTCTTGGGACCTGTTTTAGAACTATCACTTCTTTTCTCTGTATGGAATTGGTTCTTCTCTTGCCATATTGTACAGGATGTCTTTCACTTTTTTTCTTGCAAATCTAACATGTACTTCCCTAGGAAGCCTGTTCCTCCTTGCATAATTTTTCTGTACTCTATAGACATCGTCCAATTCTTTAATTATCTCTAGCTTGTCTTGTTGAAGTACTTCTGCGATTAGTTCTGTCGTTATCTGTCCCAGGTCCTCCTCTTTGTCTTCTACAATATTCTGGAAATGTAAATAGAAGGAAGCCCTATCCATTTCCAGTTGAATTATTGAATCGTCTAACTCCCTATTTTGCATCATAAGTTTCTGGTCCACCGTATCTAATTTCTTCTCGTTTTGCTCTATTCTGGATTCTGCCTTCAGTATCCTTTGTTCATTGTTATGTATCAAGATTTGGATCTCGCGCATCTTCTGGTCCAGTACTTGAATGTCTGTTTTTAATTCCGTATTTTCATTTCATTTTTTTCATTTTATTAAATTTGTATACCACCCTACTCCCGAAGGACTCAGGGTGGTGAACAGGCACGAAATAAAACACATAAATACAAAAGTTAAGACATGATTAAAACCCAATTAAATAATTTTTGCCTGAGACAATTTAAAACCCCCAATAATTTAAAACGAATTAAAATTTGAGTTTAAAAATTTAGAAGAAGGGGAAAAAATTAGGCCAGGCCGGCCTGCTGGAATAGGAGTGTCTTCAAAGTATGGCGGAAAGTGCGCAGATCCGGGATCCTCCGTATCTCCGGGGGGAGCTCGTTCCAGATAGTAGGTGCCCCCACATAGAAGGCCCTCCCCCTAGGGGCCACCAGTCAACATTGTTTGGCTGACGGCACCTGGAGGAGCCCCTTTCTATTAGAGCGTACCGGCCGGTGGGAGGCTGTTTGTGGTAGTAGGCGGTCCTGTAAGTAGCCGGGTCCTAAGCCATGGAGCGCTCTAAAGGTGGTAACCAAAACCTTGAAGCGCACCCGGAAGACCACCGGGAGCCAGTGCAGCGTATGATTATTGGACATTTTTTCTTGCATGATCATCATGGTTTCTTGAATTAAAGTCATGTTGATTGCAACGTTTGTATGGTCGGTGTTACTGCGGATTTTTCTATTTTAGACAACCCTTCCATTGATTTCTGGGTTGCTGGGGAGATCATAGTTATAGTGGGATTGGAGGGTATCTTCTTTCCTGTTTTCAGAATCGTTGATGAAAGGCTTGTCATTTCTTTCAGGACTATTTTTTGTTCTCTAATTATTTTCTCAATATTTCTCCAAATTATCATTCATTAAGTGCCACCTCTTCTTGTCTATTATTCTTTATTTTCTAGTATTAATTTGAGTATGTTTACAGGTAAGTTAATTCCGATTCTCCCAAAACACAATATTTATCTAGCCTCTCCTGATAACATAAATCACATGAAATGGAACACTGCTATCAGAGTAAATCACACTTACTTATTCTCTGTCCCACTTATTTCTTTAAACCAGTTTCAAACTATAAATATTATATAGATATAGATATATATGTGTGAGTTAATATATGTAAATACTGATAATACTATAAATGCTATATACTATATAAATATATACTGTTATAAATACTATAAATAGAAATAAGTACTGTTATATATAAATATAGAAAACTATATAGATATGTATGCTATATATAGAAAGATATCAAAAATTAATTATTTTGCAAGTTGACAGTTAATATAAGTATATAAATTATCAAAAGTGTTAGTATAATTATCAAAAAGTATCCAAAAATATCAAAATTCCTATATGAGTCAGACGATCTTCTCTTGATTTTTTTTTCCTTTTGTCCCTTTTTAAAATATGTGAAGTTTTTTAATTGCTCAGTTTCCAAAACTCCCTTTTTTTCCTATGTCCGTAGGTCAAAATCAGCACTCTCTGGTATTTTCCACTGCTAGATTGTCTGTGAGTCAGCCTCTTCAATTATCGCCCTGTCAGGTCTTTGTAATGGCTGCACTTCCTGTTCTGTGATACAAAGCAGTCTCTGTCCAATTTCACTACGATAGTTCTCTGATTTTAAACAACAAAGGTGAAGTCCTTTTTTGGGGGGAATCTGAGTTCTTATTACTTATTACTTGCTGTGCCAACAGATCTCCTTTATGCAAGTAATTTAATCGATCTTAATTCTCCCTGCCGGCTCGTCAAGCTCTATAGCTTTTCAATCCATTCTCCAATTCCAGTTGCCGCTCCTTACTGCTCTGAGCCCTTCACGCCCGACTCCGCCGGCACCTTCTTCCAATGACAACTTCACATATGTAAGGAAAGGTATATTAATCCAATTTCGACACTGCCGACACTGCCGCCTCTGATCTTCCTCGCCTCCGTCTTGTTGCTGGCTACCGCAGCCTCAGGTCCGCCATTGAATAGCCGACTCACACGTGTTGGATTGACAGAGCTGCCCGGTCTTGCAATAAGCGTTTGCAAGTCGCTTTGTCACTCCCCTGGCTCTCTCTAATGTCTGCGAGGCTCTCCAGGCTCCACGCCCAAAAAGGGTCCCCAAAACATGGTGACTAGCGGCACCGAGAGTAGCGGTCACTCTCTCAGCACCATGTTGCCGTGGGTCGCCAACCGGAAGTCCTAATATTATTCTTTGTAATTCTACAAAGAAAATGAGATTTCTCTATTCAAAACAATAAGGCAATAATGTTCCTATTTGTGAAAGTTTGCAAATTTACCAAGAGGATCAAAGTATCTCAGGTGTGATCTTCTATCAGGACTATGAATTCAGTTGAATGTTGATTTTTCTAAAAACCGCCAGCATGAGTCACACATAAGAGAACTGTAGTCAGATCTGTAAATATTTCCTAAAGAAAGAAAAGAAACAAAACTATAATGTATAAGTTATTTTATACTTCTGGGACAATGAAATTCAGAAATAACAAAATAGGTCTATCCAACACTTCTAATAAATACATTATAGAAAAAAAAGTTTTTCAATTTTTTGTAGACTTTCAGTTGCCTTGAGAATATTAAACAATGCTACAAAGTTAACAAATAGGTTAGAGAATTTGGGCAATAGTAGCAATAGCTACTATTATTGGCATTACTCTCAGTTTAATCTCAGTTTACTACTATTGGCACTGCTATCAACTCAACTAATAATTTTTCAATCAGTGACAAGAATGGTTGAGGATTTGGTCTGTAAGATAGGTAGCAAACTTCTGTTTTCTTCCACTATATGTAGACTAATGCAACATCTTCTTCTGAATTGTAAAGAAAGTACATACTCTCTTCAAGCATGTTGAGATGTGTGAAATGAACAAACTAAGTGTTTATAACTGTGAGGGAAATAGGGTATTGATGTTGAACTTGTAAATGTAGATGAGGAAGCATATGATGTGTGAAGCATATGGCGATACATATGTATGAAGTTTAGCTGAGCATACGCATCACAAAACAGTGATGTGTGATGAAAAGTGGATGATGAGAGAGAAGGAGGTGCAAACTATGAAATAAATAAACCAAGGCAAACAAAATCTGGGAATCTCCCTTCATATACCTGCTAGTATTTTCCATTAAGCATATATTTATCTAATTAGTACTATTCATGAACTTCATGTCTTCCTTGGGTTTATTTGATTTGATTTTCACTGAGTATCTACTACCATCCTTATGGAAAGTGGGTATGGCTTCTATACATGAATATTACAGAAGAAAACTCATCATTTGACAATAAGTAATTATTTCTTGATAACACAGGGGAACCCAGGGAAAAATATTTCATGAGCATTGTTATTGTTCTTACTATTTGTTACTTTTCAGTGCTTATAATATTGATAAGGCTTCAAAGACTCTGAAGACTTTTTTTAAAAAAAAATCTGTCACCAAGAATGTTATATACTTATGTTACAAATCTTGGAATTAATTGGGGTCTTCTGATATATTCCAATAAACATAAGATAAAAGAGCATACGATTCAGACCTCTTACAGGAGTAAGATCAGGAATATTTTATTCACTATTATTTAACCCTGAAGCAAGTCTTTTTAGATTTTGTTAGTTTTGTTTTTGATAACAATTGTGATAAACCTCAGAGGTTGACAATCCTATTACCATAGTCTTGAGAGACAATGCAAACTAATAATGGAACAGTATCGTTCTCTTAGAAAGACATGAGCAAACTATCCATGTTATTGGGCTATACCATCAAACACAGTCAATTTCTGCAACTATCAGGGTCTTCTCAATGGAGGGTGTTTCAAATATATTGCATTATCAGAACAAATGCACATGTATTCATCATATGGCAAATGGATAGCTAGCTAGCTCTCCTTTTCAAAAAGCAATAGTTACCCAAAGAATGAAGAAAGTTTCACCCTAGCGAAATCAGATCTAAATTGGATCCTAAAAACGAATGCATGAAATTGTTGAGATTTATCTAACTTAAACACTTCCCTCTTTTTAATGAATCCATTCTGAATAACCTTTAGGGAGATCTTGGTTTGTGGAGGAGGTATTAAGCTGTGAAGAGCTTAATACCAGTGGTCAAGAGAATAGCCATGAGTTCCTTGCCCCACTTTTATGAAGAAGAGTCCTGTTCCACCTACAGTTTGAATCAGTATATACTCCCTTCAGATAATTCAAACAATAAAGAAAGGAATAACATTTCACAGTGACATTCAGGGATGAAATGCTCTCAGATCGGACTGGATCGCCTGGTCCGGTAGCGATCTTGGCTATTGGTTCGGCGATCCGGTAGCGATGGCGGAGCAAAGCTCCGCCCACCCACCCGGGTGTCATTACTTCCTGATTTTAACCAGGAAGTAATGTGTTTTTTACCTTCCGCGCATGCGCAGAAGGTTTTGCACATGCACAGAAGGTCGTGTGGCGCGTGCACTTCTGAGCCAATAAGGAAAGTAAGTAGATTTCACCCCTGGTGACATTGGTTATTATTAGCAAATATTTCACTGTTTACACTTTAACTTTTCTTCCTTCCTTCCTTCCTTCCTTCCTTCCTTCCTTCCTTCCTTCCTTCCTTCCTTCCTTCCTTCCTTCCTTCCTTCCTTCCTTCTTTCCTTCCTTCCTTTCCTCCCTCCCCCCCCCCGTCCTTCCTCCCTCCCTCACTGCCTTCCTGCCTCATAGAGTATGCTTTGATATTAAATATAACTAAAGAGATCCAGATAAATTATTCTAATTCTAATTTTTCTTCATTGGTTTTGTGAGAGCAAGTGCTCTCACAAAACCAATGAGTAAGTCATATTAGCTTTATCTATTACATATACAGCCAGAGTTCTGAAAACTCCCTGAATTGCCTCTTAATTCCAGAGACCTCAATCTAAAGCAATTTATCATTTTTTTAAACAATTTTGTTACAAAGTGTAAGGCTGCTTCTAGTCACCTGGATCCAATTATACTTCTTTTGTGCTGCACAATGCATAGCAGTTTCAAATAGCTACTTGCCACTATTGCTGTGAGCCTCTCTTCTCAACTGCATTTGTGATAGAAACACATTTACTTGGACATAATTAATTGGTTGGGTTTTTTAAAGCAGCACTGATGCTCCTGATAAAGATGAAATACAGCAGTGTAGATAAATGGTATTATCTTTACTACTCTGGAGTATATAATTAAGGAAACAGCTTAACTTGTTTGGCAATTATTTGTGTAGCCTACTAGTAAAATAGATACGGTGCTGTGGGTCAAGAACCTATTCGTTAACAGAGATTATATGGTGAGAGTGAACCATTCACCATCTTTTACTCCTTGTTTGAGGTTGCTTAGTTTCTTAGTTTCTTTATTTTTGTTAAGAGGATAAAATGAAAGGAGATATACTATATACACTGCTTTGAATTCCCACAGAAAAAGCAGGCTAAAATCTAATGTAATAGATGTAATAAAATGAAACCTTTTAAAAGTTGTTTTTAGTCACTGACCATCTGTTCACTTACTTGTAATGTTTTATATCAATAAAAAACCTACACTTGAATTCCAAAAATATTCATATAGTTTTATCCAAAGCTATAAATATCACCAATTCTCTATATATTTTTGATGTAGAAGGTTCTGTTTTACAAGGTACACAATTCTCAGGTATTCTGCGATTGATTGAAAGATAGTTACAGGCAAGGAAACATTTATGATTCATATTACAGTTGGGAATGTCACTTAAATATCAGTTCCTGTGTATATTGAAAGTTATTTGATAATATGAACATCTATATAGTGCATACAAATGACATTATAGCTCAATTCCAACTTCAACAAAGGGACATGCCTTTTCAGGGTTAAAACAATGTCCTATTTTTTCTCATGATTTCTAGAATGATGTCTTAATAAATTGTCCCAAAACTTTCTTTGAAGTTTTAATAACCTTAATTAAAAACACCGAAACTAATTAGATTTAGAAATTTTGGCTCACTCACATGCTTGATTTCCCATTTGCCTATTGCAATGTACTGAAAATAATTTCAAAAATGGCATGTCTGCCCTACAAACCATTCCTTCCGCTATTGTGCAGATATAATAATAGCCAAAATATCAAGTACTATATCTAGTAAGTTCAGCAAAATGATGTGTGAATTAAAAGTTCAGCAATCTGGTGACTAGAATCATACTTAGGGTTTTTTTTTGTTTTGTTTTTTTTGCAACACTTATTTAGAACTACCATTTCTGAGTTACCAAAACCCAGGCTAGCAAAAGAAATAGTGAGCTCTCTGTGGTTATCTTGACCTGTCAGGGTTTTGTCATCCCAGAAATGGTAGTCATAGTTTAATTTTTTCTATCTCTTTTTCTACTCAACTTCTTTATTCCTATTAAACTTTCTTCAGAAATTTGGTTATGAATTAAGGGTAAAATTCAAGGTACTGGTTATTACTTTTAAAGCCCTGCATGGAAGAAGACCACTCTAGCGACAGGACTGTTTCTCCCTGAGGATATCTGCCTCTGTTCCAACAGGTTATAAACGCTCTACTATCATCCCAGTGCTGAAGAAGCCCACCATCAAGGAACTGAACGACTGCAGACCAGTTGCTCTAACATCTATAGTTATGAAAACCTTTGAAAGGCTAGTGCTGTCTCACTTGAAAACATCACGGATCCGCTGTTAGACCCCCTGCAATTTGCATACCGAGCAAACAGATTAACAGATGATGCTGTTAATATGGCTCTGCACTACATCCTATAATTACAATTACAATGTACAATTAGCACAGGGGCTCCGCAAGGCTGTGTGCTCTCTCCACTTCTCTCTATATACCAATGACTGCATCTCAAACGATCCATCTGTTAAACTACTGAAGTTTGCAGATGACACAACAGTGATCGGTCTCATTTGAGACAATGATGAATCCGCATACAGACAGGAGGTTGAACAACTAGCCTCGTGGTGCGACCAGAACAATCTGGAACTGAACACACTCAAAACTGTAGAAATGGTGGTGGACTTTAGGAGAAATCCTCCCATACTACCACCTCTTACAACACTAGACAACACAGTATCAACAGTAGAGACCTTCAAATTTCTAGGTTCTACCATATCTCAAGACCTAAAATGGACACCTAACATCAAAAACGTCATCAAAAAAGCACAACAAAGAATGTTCTTTCTGCACCATCTCAGAAAGCTCAAACTGCCCAAGGAGCTGCTGATACAGTTCTACAGAGGAATTATTGAGTCTGTCATCTGCATCTCTATAACTGGTTTGGGTCTGCAACCCAACAAGAAAGACACAGACTTCAGAGGATAATTAGAACTGCAGAAAAAACAATTACTACCAACCTGCCTTCCATTGAGGACCTGTATACTGCACGAGTCAAAAAGAGGGCTGTAAAAATATTTACAGACCCCTCACATCCTGGACATAAAC